TCCCTAATCAACCCTGAGCGTGGTTTTTTAAAAAAATTCTTATTTTAAAAGGCTTGCCAATTCTGAACCACTCACATTTTCAAGATGTGCTGTGAGACTATCCCCAAAGATTCACTACAAATATTTGCGTGATGCAGTCTTTAGATATTTGGGCTTTAACCCCCTCCCCACAAATAGGAAATGGTGGTGCTTTTTAATCTGTATATTTATTACATCCTGAACTGAACCATAAATGACAAATTGGTATTGTATCCATTTATGTCCCAAGGTACCTTATTGATTCTTTCCTGTTTGAAGAAATAGTGTAGAAATCCAGATGTGGAATAACCCAGTTGGCTTTTTAGGAAATGAATTATAAGTTTCTCTGAGTAAATACTTAATCCAGGTGAGCAACATTTACCCTGAGGATTCAAATAACGTTTTACATGAATCTGAAGATGTGTGCAGGTTTCTTCTGACGGAAGCACAAGTGGTTTTAATGACGATGTATGGTCCAGTCTTGTTTCATTATTCAAGGGGCTGTCCAGCTCTGCCAAAACCAGTGGGACTTCTCCTTTTAACTTTCATGGGGTGTAGCTTTGCAGACCTTCAAGGAAGGTCTAATGCAGAGAAAAGAATACAGCCAATGGGACAGATAGCGGTAAGTGATTCTGTCAATTCTGGTGTCTTTCAGATTCTTCTTCCTCCAACTGTAAGTTCAGTTCCCCAGATTCCCGCATCACTTTGTGATTTCTTTTGAAGTCCTCAAGAAAACTCATTAGCATTTTGGTGCGAATGTCTCCTAACATACACATTTTTTATTAGCAGTTTTGCCAAATATGCACATTTTTTGCAAAGCGACTTCCTATACAGTGGTACCTCGGGTTAAGTACTTAATTTGTTCTGGAGGTCCGTTCTTAACCTGAAACTGTTCTTAACCTGAGGCACCACTTTTGCTAATGGGGCCTCCTGCTGCCGCCGCGCTGCCAGAGCACGATTTCTATTCTCATCCTGAAGCAAAGTTCTTAACCCGAGGTACTATTTCTGGGTTAGCGGAGTCTGTTACCTGAAGCGTATGTAACCTGAAGCGTATGTAACCTGAGGTACCACTGGAATAAAATGCATTTATGTGTGTTATTTTCAGCAATATGTACATTTTTATTCACACTTTATCCTAGAATATGATTTTTTGTAGACATTACTCAGATGATAAATTGTATTGCAGGATTCAGAAAAGTGCCGAATTTCAGAAGAAGGCAGTGTTTTGGTTCATACATTGTTTTGGAAAATGCGAGTTAGGCCTTATCCACATTGCTCTGGTCTTTCCAGGTATGGTCCACACTTTAAATCTCTGTGTCTGAGCACCCTTTTCTTTCCTCCTTAGCTTGTCCTGTGAAAACCTGCTCTTTAAAGCTCAATTGGAGCAAATGGCAATCCACGGAAAAGCCACATTGACGTTTGATCCGATTGAGCAGTAAAGAGTGGATTTTTGTGCAGAAAGCTCTGGGGCAAAAAGGAAAAAGGAAAACAAAGGAGCTCAGACATGCAGTTTTTAAGCGTGGACTTGGGCCTGGATAAAATAGGTCAAAAGGTAAGTGTGGGTAAGATCAGTTTGCCTTTAAATGCGAACTGAAGTGATTTTTTCCACATTCCTATCCATGGCATGGTTTTAGTGAAGCCTCTGGAGTTATGAAGGCTTTTTCTTGTGCTTTTTGGGAAATATATTAGGCTGAAATCCAGGGGATCTTCTTTCAAATGAATATGTCAAAAGCCACAATGTACACTTATCTGTGAACAGAAATCCAGTGAGATTGACTTTTGGGGTGGGACGGGGGGAAATGAGACATAGGATTGGTCTGGATATCCCATATTAGACCCCTTGGCTTGGGGGCAGGGTAGGAACTTTATGCTGTGCAAACCACTTCTTTCCATCATGAAAAAGCCCTTAATCTTTGTATTGAGCTGCCCCACATGAAAGTTCATTGCATGAGAACAGCTGCTGTGTGGAGCAATTTAAAGTTGCCACCAGGTGGCAGCTGTAACATAGGTTGGACCCAAGAGATCAGGTGAGATGAAAAATGGTGAGTAAATAGGAACAGGCTCCAACCAAAGGTTGGCATTCCACAAACGCAGCCTGCTAGAATAATAGAAATATTGCAGTTTTGCAGGGTTGCCTAGGCTTGTCTGAAATTAGGAACATTATAAATATACTGGTTAACCTCAAACTGGATAAATGTCGCATTACATATATTGTTACATATCCTAACATATTACTTGTGAAACTCTGTTGAACAGCATGTCAGCAGCAATTGCCCCAGGTTCAGTCATAGGCATCTCTAGGTAGGACTGGGAATGTACTCAGTCTGGAATCCTAGAAAGTGGCTGCCTGTCAGTGTAGGCAATACTGAACTAGATGGACTGATTCAGTATCAGGCAGCTTCCTATGCAAAATGGTGTACCTACAGTATATCATGTAAGGTGTACAATGATGACGCCAGACCCAATCCTGTGGGGAGGGAAATCCTCATTTGAAATCCTATTGAATTGCTTTTGAACCTTTTGTTTGTTTGTTTAAAGTTCATGAGGAATAATAATAATAATAATAATAATAATAATAATAATAATAATAATAATTTATTTATACCTTGCCCATCTGGCTGAGTTTCCCCAGCCACTCTGGGCAGCTCCCAATCAAGTGTTAAAAACAGTACAGTATTAAATATTAAAAACTTCCCTGAACAGGGCTGCCTTCAGATGTCTTTTAAAGATAGGATAGCTGCTTATTTCCTTCACATCTGAAGGGAGGGTGTTCCACAGGGTGGGCACCACTACCGAGAAAACCCTCTGTCTGGTTCCCTGTAACCTCACTTCTCGCAATGAGGGAACCGCCAGAAGGCCCTCGGCACTGGACCTCAGTGTTTGGGCAGAACAATGGGGGTGGAGATGCTCCTTCAGGTATACAGGACCGAGGCCGTTTAGGGCTTTAAAGGTCAGCACCAACACTTCGAATTGTGCTCAGAAACATACTGGGAGCCAATGCAGATCTCTCAGGACCGGTGTTATGTGGTCCTGGCGGCCACTCCCAGTCATCAGTCTAGCTGCCACATTCTGGATTAATTGCAGAAAGAAAGCCAAGAGAAAGCCAAGCAGAGGCATTTTTCAAAGCTTGCCTAATGTCGCTTTCTCATTCACATTACATTTTCCCATCACTTACCTTACCACAAAAGTCCAATTTCTTTTTTGGAAGTGCGTTTATGGAACAAGAGAGCCAAAACCACTTACGCAAGGCAGTCTGAATTTGCCAGGAAGTGACTGAATCTTACACGCAAAAATATCGACAGTCTGGAAATGGCTCAAGTATATTGCGGTTATTAGTATTGAGCATATGGAAGCAAATTGCATGAATAAAGCCTGACTCTCCTTTGAAATAAAAATGATCCGAAAATATGGGTCAAATGCAACTTGAAACAAATAAAGTTACATTCAGATAGATGCATAATATATTATGCTGATTCTAGCACAGGTAAAATATATTACTGTATTTTTCGCCCTATAGGACGCACCGGCCCATAGGACGCACCTAGTTTTTTTTTTGGGGGGGGGGAAATAAAGGAAAAAAATTTATTCCCCTTCCAGCAGCGGCTTCAGCGCGCCCCGCGGTCTGGGCAGCAGGCTGCTATCCGCAGCCTAGGGAGCCCTGCAGGAACTCCCGCGGGCTCCCCAGGCTTGCTGATAGCTTCCTGAAGCCTGGAGAGTGAGAGGGGTCGGTGCGCACTGACCCCTCTCACTCTCCAAGCTTCAGTGAAAGCCTGCATTTGCCCCATAGGACGCACACAGATTTCCCCTTCATTTTTGGAGGGGAAAAAGTGCGTCCTATAGGGTGAAAAATACGGTAGATTATGAATATCTTCCATGAGAACTAAAAATCTAAGCACTCTCTCTCTTCCAAACAGACTCCATTTAGCCTGAGGCTGTTTTGCTAGAGAAGAGAAATTAGCAGGTCCATTCTCTTCAGTAGCTTCAGAACAAAGACTGATGCCACCCAAGATGAAGACCTACAGATTAGCATGTGCATAGACTTGTAACACTGTATATTTCATGTGATTTAAACACCCACTTAATCATTAACCTCTCTTCACAGCTCTTCTTTATTATTCCCCAAAGGATAGGTTTGTTGAAATAGGTTCTTTGTACAGTTTCATTTTTGAACAACAGGGAGAAAAGCTATTATTTACTGGCTGGCAGTTGCATATAAGGTTTCTGTGTTTGCTTTTGTAGTCCAACGTATCAGACAAAATGTATTGCACAAAGTAGGATTCATTGTGCCAGGGGTGTCTCTCAGATGTATCTCTCAACTTGATTGTTCATAGTTTTTTGATGGTCAGTGATTTATTAGCAAACAAATTTGACTTAGTGATTGAGAAAAGGGATGGCCTCCACCCAGATGGCCTATTTATTGAGCATTATTCCTGGTTTACTTGAACAATGTGGAAATCAAGTTCCATCTGATTTTTCTTGAACATTTGTTCTGATTTTCTTTGTGGAGAGGTTATGTGACGATGAGCATCCATCCTGCATCCATCCTGATTTGCTTTTAGGATCATTAATCATTCATTCGTTCATTCCACATTTTTCAATGTATTTCCCTGTCACTTTCCTAACCGCAAAAAGTTTATTTTGACAGAGCATTTTAACCCACTTTAATTGCACAAAGCTAAATTTGCTGGAGCAGAATCACTCCTGGAAAACCTGAAGTTGCCCCAGCCTGATACTCCAAGCATTGCACTGGAGATGGGGGACCAATGGCCTTCCAGATGTTGTTGGACTCCAAATCTCATCACTCCTGTTGGCTATGCAGGCTGAGGCTGATGGGATTGGAAGTTCAACAACTTCTGGAGCGTCACCTGTTCTCTATCCATGCACTACACCCTTCTGACTCTCATGTAAGTCTGACTAATAGCAAGATGAAGCAACAGGGGTGGGTGAGGCTCTTCTACAATGAAGGCTAGTAGAAGCATCACTGAGTGCCATCTGCAGAACATCCAATTTATTTGGAAAGAGCCTCAAACCTTCTGGTAGCACAGTCAGTTCTGGTTGGATGATGTTTGCCAACTGCGCCTGGTCATGTTTTCCACCAGTGAGGCTGGATATCTGTGTATAATTCCTGTGGGATCAGGGGATGGTAATGTATACACACAGGAAAAGTTCAATTTCAAGTAGCTGCTAACTTCCAGTAAACAATGAGTTCACAATTCTTTTCAAGTCTCAGAGCAAAAGGATAAATTTGGTTCAAGGCATTCACAGTTTTTTCGAAGGCCTGGGAGATGAGCTGTAAGTTACAAAAAGAGAAATCAGGAATGGAATGTCGTACAGTTTGGGTGACAAATCCAACATCTGAACAAGCTATAAGCCAGGCATGGCCAAACTTGGCCCTCCAGCTTTTTTGAGACTACAACTCCCATCACCCCTAGCTAACAGGACCAGTGCTCAGGGATGATGGGAACTGTAGTCCCAAAACAGCTGGAGGGCCAAGTTTGGCCATGCCTACCAAGAATGGGGAACTTGTAGCCTTCCAGATGATGGTGGACTACAACTCCCATTATCCCTGACCATTGTCCAAGCTGGCTGGGGCAGATGAAAGTTTAACTCCAACAAAATGGAGGTTCCTCATCCCTGCTGTTTAGAATTGTAGTCATGCAGGGCAACCAGATCCATGTTTACTCAGAGGTAAGCTCCAACTGTATTTAATGGGACTCACTCCCTTGTAAATTATCTTCAGGACTGCAGCCTTCATCATCTTTGTTTTGGTTCCCCTCCCTCTTTCCCATTCATTTTGTGACCATTATTTTCACCAACTCTCAAGAGTCCTCCTTCCACTTCGTCTCTTTATTTCTGTAATATCAGGTTCTGTTGATTCTGCCACTTTTTCATTTTGTGCTATGTTTTCTCATACATTTGATACTCTCACTCCTGTTTCTTTTAGTCCTCTTTGTCAATCTCCTTGGCCATCGCTTTCTGCATCTTTCTGCTATTTTTGTCTCTGCAGCTGCAGCGCTTTGGTGCAAAACTCATTCTTACCCATGCTTTCTTTTTTCAACATTTTTCTTGGTTTTCATCTTCTCTTTATCTGATCTTTCTTTCACTAAAAATCCCCCCTCTCATTTCATTCATTCATCTTCTGTTTGCCTTCATAGTTTGCTTACAACTAAGCACTGTTGTGAAGTGTTAACTTATTGCAAAGGGCCTAATGAGCATTAAGCACTATAGTTGTATGATGATAGACAGTAAATGGAAGAAGCTTTTAATTTGACCCATGTATTCTTGATTACAATTATAACCCACTTTTATAATCCAAGGAGCTCAAGGGGGCTTGCATAGTTTTCTTCCCTTTGCTATTTTATCCTCACAACAACCCTGTAAAATAAACTGGGCTGCCCCAAGGTCATTCAGTGAGCTCCACTGCTGAGCGGGAAATTGAACTCCTGGGAAGCCCCAACTGAAAGGGACTTAAAGGTAAAGGGACCCCTGATCATTAGGTCCAGTTGTGGCCGACTCTGGGGTTGTGGTGCTCATCTCGCTTTATTGGCTGAGGGAGCTGGCGTACAGCTTCCGGGTCATGTGGCCAGCATGACTAAGCCACTTCTGGCGAACCAGAGCAGCACATGGAAATGCCGTTTACCTTCCCGCCGGAGTGGTACCTATTTATCTACTTGCACTTTGACTTGCTTTCGAACTGCTAGGTTGGCAGGAGCAGGGACCAAGAAAAGGGAGCTCACCCTATTGCGGGGATTTCAACTGCCAACCTTCTGATCGGCAAGTCCTAGGCTCTGTGGTTTAACCCACAGTGCCACCCGCGTCCCTTGAAAGGGACTTACTCCCTTGAAAATTATTTCCCTCCCACTTTGTGCTTCCTTCCTTTAGCCTCATTTTATCTGACTGACGGTGGCGACGTGTGTGATGTTGCAGATAGCACTGCAACAAAATCACCACAGCCAGAGTAGACAGCGGTGACGGTGCTGCCATTTTGGCTGCGGTGATGCGGAATGAACACTCACACCTTACACTGTGGGTGCACTTTGCGGGATCACACATGATGCTTCGGACCCTGGGGAACTTACCAGTTTGTATGGGCTGGCCTGCCTCTCAGTGTTATTCTTTGGAGCCTCGCGCCCAGCCTCAGTTGTCAAGTTACACTGCTGGGACGTGAAGCCAGTCGCATAAATAGGGGGTGGAGTCAGCAGCAGCTTGGCAGTTGGCTCAGGAGTTTCACCCACTCAACCCTCCCTTTGTTTAATGTTTCTTAACCTTTTTTCTTCCTGTTTAGCGGGCGCTGCTACGGTCTTATGACTGGTTGCTGTTGAAGAACCGGGAAGAAATTTTCCTGCATTGGCAGGTTTTATCTTCCCCGTAGCAATTTGTCACAACTTTGGCGGTTTAAGGCCTTGGGTGGAATCCTTTATTCTTTTCTTCCCTAAAATGGGGGGGTGTGTGAAGTAGTGACTCACCCCCCCCCCCCGCGATGGTGATTCTAGGGTCCCCTCCTAAAGGGGTTGTAATATGGGTGTCACTGGCCATACACTGAAAGGTTGTCAGTGAACGACCCTGTGTGCAGGGATATGGGGTGGGCTGCGGGCACCCCCCATATCCCATTTACCCTGAGGAGCCCCAGTTTCCACGGCTGGGGGGCTGGGAGGGCTACACACCCAATGCCTAAGCCAAGGTCTTCCTAGATTTGAAAGTTTAATAACGTTGTGGCCAGATTTTAATCCATAACACGTTGTCAAGAGTCATTATTACTTCCTGATGGTCCCTGATCACTGGGGTTGTTGCCGCCTGGTCATGCAATGATTTTTTATCGATGGGACCACATGTCTGTCTCAACAATGGGGAGCAAAAATCAGTTACGTGGCTCACCACAACCAATCAGGTTAAAAAGCAGTGAGGGCAGATGAGGCCGAGAAATAGGAACATGAAATGGGAAGGAAATAAAATAGGGAAGGAACACCAGCAAAAGCAGGAGCAGTGTGTGTGTGTGTGTGTGTGTATGTGTGTGTGTGTGTGTATGTGTGTGTGTGTGTGTGTGTGTGATATGTACAAGGGCTCCAAACAACATTAGCACAATGCAAACATTCCACAAGTTGCCCATTCTTGAAGCAATTTCTTTGGCATTTCAAATGTGCTCATTTCAAAGGACATGTCAAAATATCAAAATCAGAGAATATTTGGTTAGGTGTTAGTTTGCGTGAGACATGGATGTTATACAACACAAATCACTGTTGCCAGCTTAATGCTATGAGATGTTACCCAATTGTTTCCCTTGATCTGCAAAGGAACTCCCAGCAGCGCACCGTAAGTTCAAACACGGACTCTCCTCTTTTGTAAGTCCATGAAAAGGCGGCAGTGTCATCTCTGCTCTGAGACTTAACAAAATGATTTGATTCTGGTACCATTGTATGTAATATAGGGCAAGTCAATTGCACTTGATGTGGCTTTATAAGAGAGGGGGACCTTCAGCCAGTCAATTCCAGCTTATAGACATTAATGGTGCATTTTGTTTTGAGAGTGGGAGAGTCCCATCTTGGGAAAGTGAGTTGAGTATTCAGGCTGGGGATTTAAGGCCTTTGATGAGAATGGCGTGTTTGGTCTAAATCTCAACGTGACGGGTTTCTGTCATGAACAGACTACAGTTGGTACATTAATGGCCAGACTTATGCTCTGCTGGTTTTGTCTGACCTGTTATTTTTTTAAGGAAAAAAATTCTTCAGAGGCACTCAGAGATGAGAGAGAAATGTGTACACTGTACATGCAAATTCCATAAATATTTTCCTCATTCATCAGTCGTATAGAATTAGGCATGCCTAGGAGCCTGAGCAGCTGAAGAGCACCATGAAACCCGAAAAAGAGACCACTCCTACCATCTGAGAATTAAATGCAGAGTTTTTAGCGTTTTAAGTCTGCAGGAATTTTAAGAAGTGGCCCTAACATTCTCCAGCAGGTATCCTACTGCGCTGCTCAGAGATGCAAAACCGGGAATGCAATGGAGTCTCCTCACTTTCCGAACTAAGCAGTGATAGTTCAGACAACTTCAAAGGACTTTAAAGATTTATTGCTTTACAGCTATAACAGAATTGACAGAATAAAAAATAAGAAATAACTTACATAAGACAACAGAACACAGAACACAGTTTTCTTGTGCTTCTCGGACCAGGTCCTTCCTGCGAGTCTTCTGCTCTTAGCTCCTCTGTGCCAGATCTTAGTGGTCTGACTACCACTTGTATCTATCAGACTATAGGCTTTCATCCTCCTTCCTTGTTTCCAAACCCATTTGGGGTGTCTTTTCCTAACTAAATCCCCAGGTGTTTGTCTACTCCTCAATGATAGCCTCTCACCCAGTTCCTTGCCTTGTTGTTCCAGCCTGATCTGCAGATCTGGTCCGCCAGTACACCATGTCCTGCCCTTAGATTCATAATTTAGACATTTGTCACATGGTCCTTACCAAAAACTTGTGTTCTTCAGCTTTCTATTTAAAACACTTGGCCAGGCATGCTTTACATGTATTTCTTTGTTTGTGCTTATGTTGGAAGTCCCTTTCTGCTTTTAGCTATGCTATGCTGTGAGTCTCGTGATTCCACATTCCCCATAATCATGTACTCTTTCGATTGCCCCCTAATTAATCATATACTAATCTATCAGCTATCTATCTATATAAACATGTACATGTTATTTTAGTCCTACAAGTCTTACCAATTTCAGTGGGAACAATGTAAGTGTGTGCAACTCTTCCACTGAGATTATTGGAGAAAGCAACACGAATCTAGCTGTTTAAACTGGAAGAAAAGACTTCAGCATTGAAGTGCTTAACTTTGGCTCATCATCCTGTTGTCAAGAAATGAAATCCCACCCACCTCCATACTGATGAACCCCCCTTCTGCAAAACCAGGGGCTCAAATTCTGTCCAATAACGTCTACAAAGTGTGACATTTATTTTTAATTCAGCCTCTTGCAGTGTAACACATTGCTGTAATTTAGGTAACTGCTCAACAAGTTTCCCTAAATCAGCACATACATGGTGCCCTTCAAATGTTGTTGGACTACAACTCCCATCAGCCCCAGACATCATGGTCAATAGTCAGGGAAAGTTGTGGTCATGCAATATTGGGTGGGTTCCACATGAGCTATCCCAGGTGTACACACACATTTATTTTGTCCTAGTGCCATCTTGGGTAAATAGAGTTTTTATAGCATGTGCGATGATGCTATGAAAGGTCTCAGACTACTTTCACCATTCTTAAAAACAAAATTTTCTCTAGCATGCACCTAATTTTTGTGGTGATAATTCTGTTAAAGAGCTATCAGTGGTATGCAAGCTGACTCTCTCTCATCTATCTACCTATCTATCTGGCATGAACGGTGCTTAGAAACTGGCATCTATTGGATCAAGATTGTCCCTGTCAATTATAAAGTTGTGTGTTAACTTAGAAAGCTGACATGATTGATAGGATCAAGAGTTTTATCACAAACAAATGATGATCACAGAAGGCTAATACACACATTATTTCTCTCACGTTTTTGTGGATTCAAGGGCTAACTCATCTAGGGTACTGTTTCTTCCAAATCCCTTACTGTCTTTATTACTCTTTTTAAAATTCTGTCATGTTTGACACTACCTAGCTGGATTAGGGGACGCGGGTGGCGCTGTGGGTTAAACCACAGAGCCTAGGACTTGCTGATCAGAAGGTCAGTGGTTCGAATCCCCACAAGAGGGTGAGCTCCCGTTGCTCAGTCCCTGCTCCTGCCAACCTAGCAGTTCGAAAGCACGTCAAAGTGCAAGTAGATCAATAGGTACCGCTCCAGCGGGAAGGTAAACGGCGTTTCCGTGCGCTGCTCTGGTTCGCCAGAAGCGGCTTAGTCATGCTGGTCACATGACCCGGAAGCTGTATGCTCCCTCGGCCAATAAAGCGAGATGAGCGCCGCAACCCTAGAGTCGGCAACGACTGGACCTAATGGTCAGGGGTCCCTTTACCTTTTACTAGCTGGATTAGACAAAAAAAACCATCCTCTGTTCCTCTATCAGTCTTCCAGACCACAAAGCTTAGCTTTGCTGGACTCCTGGACTTGCCTCTAAGGCAGTCCCTGTCACCTAGTCAGTCATTGCAAAACAACAATAGCAAAAAAACCCAATGCTCCTTAGAAGGGCACTGTCAGCTCCTCAAGGTGGGTGTGGCGAATGACAGGGCTAGTCTGGCCAGCCTACAGCTCATAAGGCTGAGGAAGGCCTTTGCAACTGGCTGAAGCAAGAGTTCTCCTTAAGCCAACAACTTCCAGAGTGCTCTGTCCAGGGTTCTGATAGACTTTGCCTTGCCCTGAATGTGACTCTGTTACTCTGCCATCCCACTAAGAGCTGCCGCAACCATAGCCTGCTTACCTGAGAGCACAAAGGGACCTTGTGGTGGGGCAGCACAAATTCCTTTGAACCACTTGGTGACTTTAGACTATTCCACTGGCTGACTGTGCTTATTGATAAAGCGGACCCTTGCTCTTGCCTGCAGCTGTTTCCGGTTGTGGCAGTGAATAGGTCAAGCCTTCAGAAGGCAGACCATATACGTGAGTCTTAAAGGCTTGCCAGTATGCTTTCTACATTTGGTCTATAATGACTAGCTAAGGTCATGAGGGCAAGGCAGGAAGGTGGGATTACCATTTACATCTCGGGTCCCAAATCTCCCTTGCCTGCTTCACATACTCAGCTCTCTTTGGCAAGCCTTGGTGCAACATTGAATTCCTTCCTTGGTTATGAATAGTATGTTACTTGCAAATATTCATTTACTCCCTTCCTTCCTTCCTCCCTCCCTCCCTCCCTCCCTCCCTCCCTCAGGAGGGCACTCTGGCATCTGACTGCACCTTAGAGTCTGTTCCTTAGGGCTTGGTGGCCACTCAGCATCTCTTAAACTGCTCCTGTCAGGCAAATAGCACAGTGGCAGAGATTCCACTTTGCATGCAGAAGGTCTCAGGTTCAGAATCTTCAGATATGGCTGGAGGATGAAACCCTGGGGAGCCGTTGCCAGTCAGAGTAGACAATACTGAGCTAGATGGACCAAGAACGTGTTAAGGCAGCTTCCTATGCCTTTATGACCGTGATTCTCAAAATCCTTGATGGGGATTGGAATTGAGCATCACCAGAACGGCATGGTATTGGCTACCACAC